GTATTCAATAAACCTATTTTGAGTACCCATCTCTGCGATAAGAGACAGTCAGACGGATGCAGACAAACAGGGCCACATTCTACATTCTAGACCTGAGATAGAAGACAGAGGAAGTGTGCTGGGAGCTCTCACCGGAGAGTGGACCTAGATTCACAGGAAAGGAGCTACCAGCTGATGAGCAGACACTGGAACCGAGCCTTGAGGAATAAGTAGGATTGGGCCAAGTGAACAGGGAGACAGCATTCCATGCAGAGGTAACAGCATGGCAAAGACCACAAGCTGCACAAAAGGGTCCAGGGAGGGAGTGTGGCAGTTCAACATGAAGGAGTGAGCCTCCCATGTCCACAGGGCCCCAGTACAAGCCTCTACCCTTCATCAGGAGGTAACAGGATTCATTCACCAGTGGGCAGCCCTGCAACATCCCTGCAAGACTTCACAGGCAGAAATGTGAAGATGGCCCTAGCTCTTACCCACCCAAACGATTCCTAGCAATTTCTTTGCCATCTCTTACTCTGATTGGTTAACAGTTCCTGAGTGGCAAACCAATCCACTGGCACACAATGTGAATTCCAACTGCTGCAGGGAGCAGAAATCTACTGGTTCCACAGTCTTCTTTGGGGAAGAATAATCAGGTGAAATGAGTTGTTTTCCCCACATTTACATAGTTATTTTCTTCTTGCTTAAAACATCCATGGATAAGATCTGATCTGTTAGAAAGGTAGAGAAAAATTTTGATATCTGCTACTATCACCAAGGAGGAAGAACTAAGGGCTGGAAGGACAACATTTTCTGCTTTGACAGAACAATTAAAGACTTGATTCTTCAGAATTTGAGAGAACTTAAAGTTAGATGGGAACCTGGAGTTGATCTTGTCCAATACGCTACCCAAGGCAAGACTTCCTTATAAAACAACAGCTTGGCTGGTTAGCAGGCACCAAGTTGTCACTTTAATCTGTTTGTTTATTAATTAGACAATATGATGGAGCTTGCTTTTGGTGGAAATACACGCATTTCATATCAAGAAAGAGTGAAACAAAGGGAAAATGTGGATTTGGGGAAACAGACTTAGTCAAATTTGGCTCCTCTACTTACATAGACTAAGTTACTATGACCTTAGACAAGACACTCAAACCTCTGAATCCCTTTGTCTGTAAGGAGTGGGATATAAAACCTTTCTTGTTGGGGTTGTTGTGAGGATTAAGTGGAATGATGTATATAAAGTGTCCAGCAGAGTCACCTGGCACACAACTGGCACTCAATAAATGGTCATTATTATTATCTCATTAACCCAAATTCCCACCCAAGGCAGAAATCCCTCTTTAAACAATGCTGACAAACTACAGAGCTATTGGGTCTCTGCTTGAATAAATATTTGTTGATTGATTTGGCAATCAGTTGACTGTAAATACCTGAGGAACATACACACCCTCCTTCCAGGATTATTTTTTTAACTCCTCTCTGTGAGGGAGATACTTCATCAACAAGACCACATCCTCTCCACTGGGTGATATTTAATGCTTAAAAGGCCAGCATGGAGTCAGATCCTAGTCACTATGACTCTTCTCTAGCCCCTGGCCTTCTTTCTTAACCATTCTTTCTTTTCTAATCACACTGACTCTTTTGAAGAGCTTTCCAGAAAACTGTACATCCATGGAAGGAGCTGCCTACAACTTCAAGAGGGTCTTGGCCCTCATGTGGGGCTTTATACATCCAACCTAAGCTCTGTCATGCTGGCACCTCATCAAACAAGGATCTGAAAGTACAGACACTGCTCTTCTCCCTCAGCAAGTATCCCTCTCATCTTTCTTCCCAGTACTCTCCTGTAATGTCAGAAGAGAAACGCAGTGCTAGACCCAAGCTCTGCAATCAGCAGACCACAATGAAAAGGCCAGCTTCCCAATCTAGTGCGCCATTAGCCTCAGTTTCCTTTCTACAAAATGGGGATCATAATAGTCCCTACCTCTTGGGCTGGGGTGAGAGTTGAAGGGGATAGTGCATGTTGATGCTTAGCACAGTGCCTGGCACAGAGCAAACACACAATGGGAGTTTGCTATTTTTTCTCCTCTTCCTACAACTATTCCCTTGCCCTCCTCCTTCCATAGATGCTACATTTGCCATTGCTCCACTGAATAGGAGGCTCCATAAAGTACACTCAGCCCCAGAGGAGTATTAGACAGTCCTGAGTGTTGTGCCCTAGGTGTCTGGCAGAGGGCGCCCTGCCCAAGTCAGACTTGAGACAGCAGCTAACCCCCAGGCAAGAGGAGCTCTGACTGGCATTTATAAGTTCTCTGATTATTAAAAGTAAGAAAAATCTGAATCACTGCTATAAAAGTAGTGGTTCTGTAAATTTAAAAAAACTTAATAAGTAAATTGTGTTGTGGAATGATAAAAGAGATATATGGGGGTAAAAACAAAACAAGGGTCCAGCAGTTGGTGTAATGCCTATGCTGCTGGACTCCCATGTAGTCAACTGCGGTTCAAGTCCAGGACCCAGTGGCTTAAACTCACGCTGGGTTCATATGCATGTGTGCCCAAGATCCCAAGAGAGAATGGGGGAGAAAGAATTGTGGTGTGGCCATCACCACAATCCACTTCTCGCTTTCTGTCTCTCTGGCGGGCACACACACCCTATAGCAAAAACACCTCTCCCAAAAATTAAAAAACAAAAACAAACAAGCAAACAAAAACCCTTAGAATCCTAAAGTCCTTTTTTTTGTGTTCTGCCTCCTTCTCTCTATCTCTTCATTTTAAAGAACAAACATGTATTGAGCGGTTACCTGCGTCGGCTGTGTGCTAGGCACTGGGAACTCGAGATGGATAAATCACAGATCTGCCCTCTAGGAGCGTACAGTCTAGTAGATGAATTTAAACACACACACACACACACACACACACACACAGGGTGATATTTAATGCTTAAAAGGCCAGCATGGAGTCAGATCCTAGTCACTATGACTCTTCTCTAGCCCCTGGCCTTCTTTCTTAACCATTCTTTCTTTTCTAATCACACTGACTCTTTTGAAGAGCTTTCCAGAAAACTGTACATCCATGGAAGGAGCTGCCTACAACTTCAAGAGGGTCTTGGCCCTCATGTGGGGCTTTATACATCCAACCTAAGCTCTGTCATGCTGGCACCTCATCAAACAAGGATCTGAAAGTACAGACACTGCTCTTCTCCCTCAGCAAGTATCCCTCTCATCTTTCTTCCCAGTACTCTCCTGTAATGTCAGAAGAGAAACGCAGTGCTAGACCCAAGCTCTGCAATCAGCAGACCACAATGAAAAGGCCAGCTTCCCAATCTAGTGCGCCATTAGCCTCAGTTTCCTTTCTACAAAATGGGGATCATAATAGTCCCTACCTCTTGGGCTGGGGTGAGAGTTGAAGGGGATAGTGCATGTTGATGCTTAGCACAGTGCCTGGCACAGAGCAAACACACAATGGGAGTTTGCTATTTTTTCTCCTCTTCCTACAACTATTCCCTTGCCCTCCTCCTTCCATAGATGCTACATTTGCCATTGCTCCACTGAATAGGAGGCTCCATACAGTACACTCAGCCCCAGAGGAGTATTAGACAGTCCTGAGTGTTGTGCCCTAGGTGTCTGGCAGAGGGCGCCCTGCCCAAGTCAGACTTGAGACAGCAGCTAACCCCCAGGCAAGAGGAGCTCTGACTGGCATTTATAAGTTCTCTGATTATTAAAAGTAAGAAAAATCTGAATCACTGCTATAAAAGTAGTGGTTCTGTAAATTTAAAAAAACTTAATAAGTAAATTGTGTTGTGGAATGATAAAAGAGATATATGGGGGTAAAAACAAAACAAGGGTCCAGCAGTTGGTGTAATGCCTATGCTGCTGGACTCCCATGTAGTCAACTGCGGTTCAAGTCCAGGACCCAGTGGCTTAAACTCACGCTGGGTTCATATGCATGTGTGCCCAAGATCCCAAGAGAGAATGGGGGAGAAAGAATTGTGGTGTGGCCATCACCACAATCCACTTCTCGCTTTCTGTCTCTCTGGCGGGCACACACACCCTATAGCAAAAACACCTCTCCCAAAAATTAAAAAACAAAAACAAACAAGCAAACAAAAACCCTTAGAATCCTAAAGTCCTTTTTTTTGTGTTCTGCCTCCTTCTCTCTATCTCTTCATTTTAAAGAACAAACATGTATTGAGCGGTTACCTGCGTCGGCTGTGTGCTAGGCACTGGGAACTCGAGATGGATAAATCACAGATCTGCCCTCTAGGAGCGTACAGTCTAGTAGATGAATTTAAACACACACACACACACACACACACACACACATATGCACACATATAGTGCAACAAGTCCCCAAACAGGGTAAGTATAAGTGCTGAGGCTTCTCAAGCCAGCATCTCAAACTTTGTGTGACCACCAAAGAACAAGGCATATTTCCCAGAGAAGGTGACACTCAGGTTGAAACCTTTTAACCATTTTTTATTGGACAGTTTTGCTGGTTATAATACATGTATATTGCAAGAGATTTAGAAAGCACTACAGTGTCAGAAAAAGAAAACATCAACCATTATCTCATCTCTAAAAGTAACCACTAATACATTCTGAATCATTTCTTTATCTTTCAATCTAGGTATTTAACATAAATAAATTTGTTATTTCACACAATTAGAGAGGTAACCCTTTTTTACTTAACATTGAAAGATAAGAATTTTTTTCACCAAGTCCAGTCCAAAAGAGTGACTCCTGGATCTTTGATTTGGGGGACCAAGCCCAGAAGCTAGGGCTGGTCCAGAGAAGAGATGACAAGCTGGGTTTCAGCGAACAAGTTGAGTTAGCAGTGCCTACGGAGCATCCCCCAAGGGAGGACCCTTGGAGATGGCTGGAGAGCTGGGTGTGGCACTCAGGAGAACGTTCAGACCTAGAGGGTCCTCAGCACACAGGTGGTGTAGACGCCATGGGAATGGATGAGATCCCACAGTGAGGGTGTGCAGGGTGAGAAGAGAGATGACTAGGGTAAGGTCCCTGCCCTGTAGAAGCTCACAGTCTAGTTGTGTTTGTGTGCAAGACATTTACCCCCAGCTAGATTGTAAGCTCCTTCAGGGCAGTTACCACTTCACACACAGCAGTCCCTTGACAACCATGGGGCTTAGGTTTCTGAAAACCCCTGGGGCAGGAGAAGTCAGACTTGAGAATTTAGGACCTTACTGGGGAAAAAATAGGGTTAGGGGAATGAAGTCACCAGTGAATTTGCGAAATCATCATATTTTTACATTGTTATAAAGAAACATGACAACAGCAGTATATTTAAAACATTGATTCTCAGTGACACTTCAATGATTAACAATACATACTTTACAATTATTCTTTGTTTACCATCTATTCCTTCTGTAGAGCTCTTCCCTTCATGGCCATAACAATATGCTTATAAATTCATTATTAAAAAAGGCTCTTGTTAAGAGTCACTTTCTTCTGTGTTTTCTCATCCAAATGTTCACTGCCTTTTGTTTTTTATGAGGGAGATACTGACTTCTGTCTCTCAGTACCACCTGCAAGTGCAAATACACACCTACACCCTAACAGGCAGGAGCATTTCTGGAGTCTGATCAACTTCTCCTCTTCTCTGTAGCCACCTCACCTACGTCTCTCTTTCCAACCTCTGGGCACATTTCATTAACTCCCCATGGCTTTTGAAAGCAAGAGTATGCAAACATGGAGTTGTCTGTATCAGAATTTAGTCTTTCTTCAGTAGACCTTAGCTCATCACTCATTAACTAGCTCATAGTAGGTACTCAAAGGACTCTTGTTGAACTGATCAGTTTCATAGTCCAAAGTAAAGAATGTGGATTTGTTTCTCTCTCTGTCTCTTTTCTTTCACTGCTCCAAATGCATATTAAGCCTTCACACAGCACAGATATTGGAATATTTGTAGGCACATTTAATTTTCCCTTCTGGCAGGTCATGATGACAAGAGGCAACTAATAGATGCAATCTATCTGCATTCATGAAGGCAATTTTGAGTTACACATGACATGCTGTCAATAGATTCAGAAGATATGGCCCTTTACTGAAGGAATTCTCTATCTTTTCCAGCTCATAGGCCACTTGGAAAAAGAAAAAGAAACCAACAATTCCCCATGCACATTTATGACAAAACAAGGTGATCACTCCAACTAAATGAAAGGACTGGCACTGTTTTCAATGAGATACCAACAAAACAATGTCTTTTAAATGAAGTAATAATCATTACACTTACACAGCATTTTATAGTTTACAAAGTGTTTGCAAGTTCATTTTAATCTCAGCTTTTTCTTCACAGCAACTCTGAATTGGTCACAGAAGGCATCACTATCTCCATTTTGCAGATGAAGAAACTGAGGCTTAACTTAAACAAAGGGGTGACCCACTAGTCAAATTTGCACCCTCTGTCTCCCTATCACTGTTCTGCTCTCAGCTGCAGTACTCAGCCTAGCCCATGAAGACCTCTGAGTCCATGTTCACCTGTGCACATCCATGTGTACTTTCAGCACGTCCTATGCAAGGTCTCATTTTACCCACCACGGCAACCTGTCAGGAGGCTCCAAGCCTCCCACACGGCAGATGAGGAGCTGTAAGTGGCTAACTTGCTTAGCTCATGGGCTTTACAGACATAGTAAGAACCTGGTCTGAACTGAGGCCACCCAACTCCACAGTCTTCCATTGTCTCCCACAGGTCTGTGACTGGGAAAGAGCAAGAGGAATGCTTAAACCCAGCTCATCTGACGCCAGAGTCTTGGATAATCTTTCTAACATACTCCCCTGTTTCCAGGGAGGCAAAACAAAGGTATACGAGAACAATAACTCTCTGAGGCTTCTCACCACCCTTATCTCATTGAATTCTCTGCAAAATACAGTAATCACCATTTTAGAGAATGTGAAGACTAGGCCCAAGCAAGGGCATTAGCCTAACCAAGGTCACCAGCCTGAGGAATGACAGAGACAGGATGTGAACCCAGGCCCAGTTCCTGAACAGCAGGGAAGTCCCAAAGAAGCATCTCTCTGGATCTGGGGCAGGGTGTGCTCCACTTCAAGCTCCAGGTGTAGCACCAACAAGACTCAGATGCTACAAGATCCTTGTGGGGAGCTGTCTCCCCTAGAGTAAAGCCTCCCATGAGGAGCCCTCGGGTAGACTTATAGTTGGATCCCCTGACATTATAAGTAAGCCAGAAAAATCCCCAATCCTTTGTGAGAAAAAGAAATCTGCATTTTTAAATGAATTCATGGAGACATTTTGTTTCAATTGCAGAGAACCAAAGACACTTGACCCAGGAAGTGGGGGTTGAGTCTCCTCATTCACTTCACAGGCTCTTTAGTCAACCCAATGAACATCAGCATCAGGACAACCCAAGTTCAAAGTGTCCATAGGGCTCCAGCGAAAACTAAAAGGAAGCTGCAGAGAGGCAGGTTACTAGAGGCCGGGAGGAACCTGGGGAGTGCCTGCATAAGGGCTACAGAGTTTCCTGTGGGGACAACAGAAATGTCTCGAGCTAGATAGAGGTGAGTGTTGCACAACAGTGTGACGTACTAAATGCCACCCAACTGTGCACCTGGGAAATTGTTAATTTTACGTTCTATAAATTTCACCTCATTTAGAAAAGGCAAGTCGCGTGTGCTGAGCACACTCTGGCAGATAGCTGATGCCTCAGCGAGCCTTTGCTAGATAAAACCAGGCCTCTCTTACCAAAGCTGTGGACAAGGAAATAGCTCAGTGAGTGCTCAGCACCAGAGCTCAGCATGTGTGCCTGTACTCTGTCCATGCATGTTAGCAGGTGCATGTGCACCGTCCATACATGCCAGTGTGTGCACTGTTCATGTAGGTCAGCGAGTGCACACTGTTCATGTATGTCTATGTGTGCCCTGTTTATATTTGTGTGCGCAGTGTTCATGTATGTTAGTGTGTACCATTTGTGCTCTTGTGTGTGTGCTCTTTGTGTGTCAGTGTGTGCACTGCTCATATGTCTGTGTGTGTGCACATAATTCATATGTTCTGTGTGTGCAGGCACAGTTCATGCATGCCATCATATATGTGCACTGTTCACATATGTCAGTGCATCCACTGTCCATTATTGTGAGTGTGTGTGTGTGCTTGTTCACTTGTCGGTGGGTGTGACTACTGTGTTTACACAATGGACAGAGGGGAGAAACCTCAGAATGACATTTCTAAGGCTTGACACTTTGGCTTAGTAAATTTGTATGCCTTTCCAATTCATCAGCAGTAATAACAGGGGAAAAAATGACAATAATACTATTCATAATAAAAACTGTGTGCTTGCAATTACACAATGGCAGAGACTATTTATTGAGAGATTGCTATGAGCCAGGCACCCCAGGAAGTGCCTCTCATGCATCATCTCATTTAATGCTCACAACAACCCATGAGAAAGGAACTTTCCATTTCTTGGATGAGGAAACTAAGGATCACAAGGTTAGATACTTGTCCAAGGTCACGCACTAGCAATAACAGCCAAGATTTTAATCACGTCTATCTGACCAATGCTTGTAACCTGAACGGGGAGGGAGAGCATAGCCAATGTTTCAAGTTGTAGAAAATGTCTTAAGATGTAGAAAAACATTTTTAAAAAGATATCACATCGGGCAGAAGTAACGGCTATGAACACGCTAACATGTTTCCCTTCATTGCTTCTGTCTTGCACAGTCGAAATGACGCTGTGAATACAATCGGGTGTACCATAAGCATTCCCCACCTTGACTACCCCCCCCCCATATATCATCTGAATTGCTGAACATAATACTCCGTCCCGGGGAAGCCATAATTAACTCTAATCCTAGCGGAGAGCAGGTGGGTGCTTTCCAGTCATCTGCGCACATAAATGATACCACAGTGAACACTTTTGTTCATCCACTTTCTTGAAATTTGTGGTTATTTCCTAGAGGTTTCTGGATTCTGAATGTGCCCTGGACTTTATGTGCTTATTGGGAGTTCAGGCTGAAGATCATCATCTATGGAGGTTTCTATTGAGGACAAAATTTTGACTACTTTTCCCTTTTCTTAAGTTGTTTCCAGGGGGCCTGGGAGAGTCACCTTTACAAACATTAACAGAGGCCCTGAACATTATCAGACAGCTGCGATCCCCTGGGAGTGGGACACTACATCTCGGCCCAGGCATAGTGTTTTATGATGCATAGCAAGTCTTCTTATCGCTTCGAGTAAAGCACAAACATTCTTTTGCTGATTTCTTTCAGGAAGAGAGATCTGTGTTCTTTAGCCAATGACTAATCTAAGAATTTCAAACTCACCCATAACCTCCAAGCCTCTGTTTCCAGATGTCCCACCTTTTCTGGACAGGGCCAACATAGAAGACTCCTTGTACTGATTGAGGACTCTAGTGCCCTCAAAACTATGTAAGAGGAACCACTGAGACTCAGCACACAGAGGAACACATTGCTTCTCCTGGCTGGCCACTCAATCTCGTGTTTAGTAATAAACCACATGAATTATTTTGTCTACAAAGCTGGTTATTTCCATCAATACTACAAATACTTATACCTAGTGGGAGAGATAGGGGAGAGACTGTGGCCTTGAGCTCTGTGTCAGGACTGATGCTCCCACCTCCCTGCACCCCACTTCCTAGTCTGACTGCACAGACATCCAACCTTGACCAGTGAGCAGGATCCCCTCCTCCTTACATTGCGCCTGCCCAGGGGAACGTGAGGCCTGCTGCCATCAGCCGGTTTCTAGAACAAAGCTCCTACTACCTTCCAGATCTTTGGCATACCTAGAGGCTATCTGCACTGTTATTAACCTAATACTTTTCCTTTAAATTCAACTGACTTTTTATTTCTTAAACTGATTTATTAAAAAGCATGATGTGTGGGGCCAGCAGATGGTGTAGCAGTTACATCAATGGACTGCCACATGGACGATCATGGTGCAAGTCCTGGACCTGATAGCTCGAAAATTATGCCAGGTGCATGTGTGTACAGGCCCAAGATCCCAGGAAGAGAAGGGATTTCGGTGTGGCCATCCTGGGAGGGGGTGGATTAGGGTTAGGGATGGGGGGAGGGTAGGGAGTGACTTCTCACTTTCCCTCTCACTGTCT